AAAAAAAAAAAAACCATAGCATGACATACAAATGCAATAAGAATTTGTGTCGGTTTAATTGATTATCCGCCAAGACTACTATATAGCAATTTATTGATTTTATTAATTGGAATGAAATTGAACTAGTAGGTGAATACTATAGCTTAATGGTTTTATGATATAAAGTTGGACTAATAGTAGCCTTTGTTTACCTAACCTCATCAATAGCTGCAAAAAAAATAATTTGGGATGGCGCCAATTGCATTAACATCCATAAGACTTTACTGTCAATGAAATGAATATAGACTATAAATTCACTCGGTGAAATAAAATTTTGAAATGAATATAGACTATAAATTCACTCGGTGAAATAAAATTGTAGCGGGACAGTCACATTTAACCGACTATTATATACTTATTCTAGGCACTTATTATTCTTTACATAAAATAAATAAATAAAACAAGACTATTATATGACTTTGGCTGGTCTCATGATAACTGCAGATACTTTGAATAGGAAACCTTGATTTTAACTCTTCTTTATTGTTTTATTATTTATCAGTATACTCATCAAATAATAAAGGCTTTAAAATTTTGGGCATAAATATTTTACATCTGTAGCAAACAATGCACAAGTGAATGGATTAGCACAAGCTCACAGACAGTGTTCTTCTTCATCATCATCATCACCATCATCATTATCATCACAAAAGTAAATAATAATAATAATAATAATTAAGAACAGAAAATCGAGACAGATTACGAAAATTTATTAAACCTAACGACCATCTAATGCTACAACAGAATCGCAACGCAAAATATATAAGTTCGACAAGTGAATCTTGTAGCCTGTAGGACCTGTTGAAAATTGCAATCATGAACCGGACATGTATGTGTACCTCGTTTGGGCTCCAACCAGAAGTTCGACAAGTTTTTCTATACAAAAGGAAAGAATTTTTTTTAAGGATGTTGGATAAAGAGTAAAAAATTATAGGTAATTATTAAACATACCGGTAAGAAGCCCGATAATGGGAATAGGCTCTAGTAGCTTTTCGGTTCTATCAAGTCTTTGCCTGAATCAAAGAACAAAATATTAACAATCTCTCCATCTTCTAATTTCAGCAAGCTTTTAGAGACGTGTGTAGAAAGTAGTGAAAATAAGATGTGAATAAAAAAAAAAAAAAAGGAAAAGAAAAAAGTTGCCGAGCGAAACAACATATTACCGGGTATACTTGGTGAAAAATGGATCTCTCATAAGGTAAAGAGCCCATAGAAACTTTCGTCTTTTCAACTGCGGCACAAACCATATATTGAAAGCCAGTTTAATCGGCAGTAAATAATTAATCGAGAAGAAATTAATAATGTATATCATCAAGAGTATTACAAAAAAAAAAAAAATTCTAACCTCATTCTTCTCGATAGAGGAAAATTTAAAATCCTTGCTAAGGCGACTCGAGACTGTGACTGTTGAAATAATTCCATGTCCAATAAGGTCCACTAATAATGAAGTAAGCCATGGAAGCCAAGACCGAGCACCATATCTTCTTATTAGCAACACATAAATGAGCGGTCTTAAGATGAACATAACCTCTCCTGTTAAAAAAAGTCCACCGAAAATACCCTTTTCGGACAAGAAAGTTGAGAGACTAGGTTTCTTCTTCACCAGTGCTGTTATTAAAACGAAAACAAATTTTACGGACTAGCTTGCATATACTTTGCAAGAACTATTCTTGACAATTTGACCAAATAAAAAGGAGAAAAAAAAAATCCATTTGTTTTAAAGATTGATGTTTTATTATTATTATTATTATTATTATTATTATTATTATTATTATTATTATTATTATTATTATTATTATTATTATTTTGGCTACATATCCTAGGAAAAATAACATTGAATATGGAAAAAAAAATTACTTGGAGGCTCAATGATTTCCTGCTGGTGATGCACTCGATGCAACCAAGTGGGCTCAGACACTGACCTAGCATTTTCACCAAACCTACTTAAGGCAGACAAGGCCCTTCCTTCAAGATTCCATGGAGTTTGCGGGCCTTGGCCCGAAGGAAGCCCATTTATACGAGAATCTAATGCACTTCCATCATTACTACTCTCCCCACCATGCAAAAGCATTTTGTAACCATTTTTCCGCAAAACCGCTAACCTGAGTAATGCCCTGTAATCGGTTCACCAACCAAAGTGGTAACAGCTTTGTTTTAATCAAGCAAAAAATAAAACAAAAGAAAAAATCTGAAAGAGAACGTTTTGAGCTAATTCAGGGAGTTACTTGATGGATTCTGTTAAGGCCATGAAGTTCCACTTTTTCTCTTCACCATAATATTGCTGGGCAACAACTTCAACAAGAGTTTCCATGTCCTTAAGCAAAGTTATGCAGAGTGAAAAAGGGAAAGAAGAAGATTCTAGAAGCCCTGTTCGTGCCCGTGTTGGAGGCGTCTCGAGTATGTGGTTGTTGATGGTAGTGATAATACCCAAAAGCGATGTAACTGGAGCAAAAGTATGTGAGATGCATGGGGAAATTGCCATTTCATTGGAATATGAAAAGATTAGCAAATAATATTGTGTATGGATTTTCATATAATGATCAGTTAATGATAAAGTACTATGAAAAAACTTTTCTTGCACATATGCCGGTATTTAGCTTTCAGTACTGCAGGCCATCTTTTGCATTTTCCATTAGTATATTTTTGGGTCTTAAATTAGTGCAAGAGTTTACGAATGAAATAATATGTAGAAATAAGAAGAAGCCGTGTTACCAAAATTTTACAAAACCTGCTTCTGGTCCAATTTCTGATTCTGAAAATCGTTCTGGGAGAAGCCATGTTAAACCCTGAACATATATTTTAAGATAACATCATAAAGATAGAGTTCTGAAAATGTCTGTAAATTAAGACAATTATATTCAAATAGTTCCACTCAACAATGATACGCAGCAGTGTGTAAGAAATTCCAGACAATACATGCCCAAGTTGAATTTGCACAAAAAGTAAATGCCATTGGCATTCTATAGAAAAAACATAATTTGGTGATATGAAATGCAGAGTATTAAGTTATAAACAGCTGCAAACTGCAGAGAGCATACACATGGGCCTTCCCGTTCGGTGATGCAACATGGAATTATATTCACCCCAGAAATAATTAATAAATAAAAACGCAATAGCACACATACTTTTTCTTGCTATACATAATGCTTCTATCATACTCACCAAATTGTTCTTCAGTGGTAACAACAGTTATGCACAATTACAATCACACTATTCAGTTCTAAGTAATGAGAAGACCAAAATTTGAAGTTTTCTACCAAAAGCAAAAGAGGCAAGCCATAGATAAAGGACATTCAATAAGTCCATTAAAAGAGGGAACATCGGGTGGATTTACCGTCAACAAGCCATACTATATGGCTATACCATACACAGACACCACATATCTTCCTTAATATAATCACAGCAATTTTGGAAGAACACAAAACTACCTATCAGACCATTATATTATCCAGTAACTGAAAAAACACATCTCAAACACTAATCCTCTTCAAATCACACCCACGGTTAAGTATAGCCATAAACAGAACAAATCCACAGCTATTAACTACCAGTGTGCTTGTATCGATCCAAAGCTCTACACAGCGATAAAAATGATTGATGCAGCCATTGTCCACCCTATCACTATTCAAGCACAGATGTTCCGAAACAAGCCCACAAGTTCATCTCTTTTTCTCAGCAGACAAAAGTTCTCTTCTTTTTTCAGAAAAGATCAAAGAAATATTCATATCTATCAAAGCCCAGATAGATATCATAACAAAAAGTAGGCCAATTCGGTTTTTCAGGACAAACCAAACAACGGAAGATAGAAAACGGACTACGAACCGAACTAAATACAAATACACGCGACAAACGTTGTTAAAAAAATAAAAAAAAAATTAAGAACTTTGTCTCAGCAAGCTTACATTAGCTAAAGACTCCAAAGAATGCACATATTCCCTATTCCTCTGAACCCATCTCCTGTAAGCTTCCATAGATCGCTAGGATAATAATGCAACCAAAATCAGCCAATCTAAGGCTTAAAAATCCCCTCTTTCGAGTGAAACGAACGAAATTCTCTGGAACCCTAAACAGTTCATCGAAGTCAATCCACCGCTCAATTTCGATTTTTTTGCGATTTTGATAAATAAACAGATGAAGAATTAGGAAAAAGTTGAGGGCACCTCCTTTATAAGGGCTTTGTTTCTTGGGATTTGTTCGCCTGTTTGTGATATATGCCTGTGAAGGATTTGTCTTGAATGGATGAAATAATATATTTCTGTTTTTTATCATAGATAAAAAAAAATAATAATAATAATAATAAAAAAAAAAATTCAGATATTTATAGTATTTCTTTAGTAAAAATAACTTTTTTTTTTTGGTCTGTCCATTTGGTTTTGTATGTTTAAATTTTCATTTTCTTTTGCTAATTTACAGAAATTCAGAAATAATGATTTTTTTATGGAGTTATTGATCACTTAATGTATGACACATGTTCAAAGTGTATTTATTATAGAACCCGTGTCAATATAATATTTATGAATAAACGTGAATGACTCAATAAGTCGAGCTCCGATGATTCTATAGAAAACTTCTAAAACATAATTTTTGGACAAATTGTTGGCAGCTAATATGCCAAAATCCATCTAAATAAATATAGTAAAGTAATAACAAATTGTGTCCCAGAAATGGATACTCACGAAGAAGATTGATGATGAAAAACCTTTTTTATATTATTCCTATAATGGATTCTTGTAATTAATTACGAAAATTAACCTAAAAGCATAAATAGTTAATTACTTAATTACATTCTAACAATATTGATATGAGCAATAGAGCCATCGAATAGTTCCTTTATGTAGCCCTCCAAAATTTTATGTATTGATACGTGTCCAATGTGTATTTATTGCAGAACACGTGTCAATACATCATTTGTAGATATCTATGGATGACTCTATAAACCGAGTCATCTAATTGCTTCATAGCAAAACCATTATATCATGGCTACATAGAATTAGAGACCATTAATGCAATTTTAAATCATCATGAAGTTAGAAAGATGGACAAATTTTTGTTTACAAGTATATGGAAGCTAGATTTACATTTTCAAACTATTTAAAAAAAAAAAAAATCTGCACGAGAGAAGAACAACAAAAAAATAGAAAAAAAAGCCAAACCAAATGTATTAACCACTTCGTATAAGAAAACCCATGAACACTAATTTTGACCAATTTTTGCAGTTCATACATATATCCTCACGAAAAATATCGAGTCAGTTATGTATGTTTAATGACATCAATATTTCTGGAGTAACAACAAAGCAAACTAGACTGAATTTCAAGAAATTAACATAGTACATAGCAAATTAAGAACTACTTGTTAACTCCTATAGCTCGAAAATGGCGTGATCTTTATGACAAGTCCCGGAAAAACATCGTCCGGGTCGTGAACGTGCGGGTTCCGCTCCACGATAAACGGGTCGTCACACTTTTCGCTGATCGTCTGAAGAGTTTCGCCTTCTCTCACGACATAGATTTCGTCGCAAGCCCGAGTCACGAACCGGTTATTACCTCGGAAAAAACCCCCAAGCTCCACGCTCGAGCACGTTATTTCCGGCAGCCAGGCCGAAAGCAAAAGAATCGTTACGAAACAAAAGCACGGCTTGAAGGTCGTCATCAAACTCGCCGCCATATTGCTCCGCCGTGTCCTGGCCTTGGTTCTTGGGACGGAGAAATATTGG